ATTTTCCCTCGTTATCCGCTGCTCCACAAAGTGGAGTTTATGTTATCAAATAGTTGTTAGGGTAATTTTTTCAGGGATCAGGAAAACCCGCGGACCCATTTAGGTGGCAAGACGATTTATTGAATACTGTTGGGGCGCTGAAGTGGATGGGGTGGGTGCTCGGGTCAAGTCAGGCAGAAGGAAGTTTGTTGCCTTCAGAAAAAGTTTCGGAGGTGAAGGACCTTTTATTTCTTACGCACATTATAGCGAACACAGGGGGATATAGGTTGATGTACAGAATGAAGTCATTCGGAAATGGAGATATGATTTCTGCTCATTCAAGCATATTTGGATGAGCAGAAATCCGGAAGTTCGTGAGTAACTTGAATATTCTCAAAATTCGAAAAGTTATGCGCGGGCAGAATATACACGTTTTCTACAGAAAATAGTGGAACAACTTCTTCGATACGTAAATTTTTTAACGTGGATTTTCGTCTGAATTTTCTGTGCCAAATTCCGGAAATTTTTATCGTGTCCAAATTCCACTGAAATTTCAGGAAATCTTGTCATTCAAAAATCAAATATTTCATTGATATTCTGTTCAAGTGATCTGAAAATCAACAAAATACTCGATTTTCCAGTTCAATTATTCTGTAAAAATTCAGAAAAATCAGAAAAATTCAGGAAAAATTGAAAATTCATGTCATTCTGTTTCTGAATATTTATATTCCACTGAAAATTCAATCAAGTTGTGAAATTTCCATCTCACTCCCGCTGAAAACGCATCAATTTGCGTGAATTCTACTTTAAACTTGAAATTTCATAACCATTTTTTCCCCAAATCCGATTTTCGAGAACATTCCACGGTATTCTTTATGATTACAAGTTAAACCTAAATAATGTTAACTGTCTGAACGCCCTTTCGACATTTGTTCTTCGTATTTTCGATCTCCGATCATTTTGATTTTTGGCTGAATTTAAATTTTCTTTCTCTCTCAGCTTAGCTTCATTTTTAACAGTCGGAATGGCTGTGAAACATTCATTTATATTTTATTTTACTGTAACGTGTCAAGTATCCATGCTATGTAATTCTCAGTCCCCCTTGCATCTTGAATTTTGTAATTCGTATGTATGCAATAAATACATACTACTAGTGCTCCAGTTTCAATTAAATTTTTAAATCAAGCCAGTTGAAGTTTCTCATTAAAATTGCTTGAGAAAAAAGTTGGGGAAAAAATCCAAGAGCGCCAGATTGTTGGGAACTTCGGATGTTCATATTCGGTTTGGAAAGAAACAATTGATTCCTCGAAGTTCCTGATAGTTTTCTTCTCGGGAAGTCAGTAACTTCAGAAAATTCGAAACTGAATAACAACTCAGGTCTCACATCATAACGGAAATATCGTATACTTCGCAGGATAAATGTAAATTCATTTTACGTCTACCCTTGGAATACGTAATTAAAAACTCACAATTTGATGGAAAAATCAATGTAAATTTCTGTTTCATTACTGCATAAAAATTAACAGAAATCAGAAAAATTCAGGAAAATATAATCTTGAATTTTCCATTAATTGACAATTTACTAAAATTCGGTACTGCACTGAGAAAATAATATAATTCTGCCCATAAAATTTGTTTCAGTCAATCAAATACCCGTCCTTTCCATACAAAATTTCACTACATGTTCTTGTCTGAAACAAATTTGATTAGCAGAATTATATTTGTTCTCAGTGTGAATATTCATATTTTCATTGAAGATTCAAGTATGTTGGTGAATTCTTGTCATCTTGCTGCTTAAAAATTCGGAATCCCTTTTAATTTTATCATGTCCTCCCCCCTTAATTTTCTTATTCTTAACTTAAAATTGTTCATTTCATATTAAAAAATTACTCATATTGACTCAGAATATATTCCCAATCCTCTAGAGTCTTCGACAAATCATCTCCGTTAATGATTTCTGCCAAAATTTTCTGTTTTTGCAGTACAAAAAGAGAGAAACCGAATTTTTCCTATAAAAAATTCCATAAAATTCTCATGTTATACCGAAAATAAAAACATCAGAATGAGAAAAAAGTTTCAGAAAAATTCATGGGCTAGCACCAGAAACATCCCGCAATTTTCATAATAAATCTTCTGGTGCTCCACAATAATTTTTCCATATTTTTCTTTACTTGAGGTTCTGTTTAATAAAAATAAACATTTTCATTATTTTAAGAAATTTCTTTATTTGAATTAAATAAATTTCTTCTTTGAACTTGATAAAAATTTGCTTGGTTCCAATGATTTCTAAATTATACAAAATAGCGATGTACACTCACAAAAATGGGTCATTTGAATTAAATAAATTGTATTTGCATCAAATAAATCCTCTATTAGAATTAAATAAACGATTTATTTAATTCAAATGAAGTTTATTCAATTCAAATAAACCATTTTTCTGCGTATAAGAATAATCAAAAAAATAATCAGAAAATTGGTTGTTCATTTTATCCTATGCTTTTCCCTCCCTCCTTCCGTTGGACAATTTCAAATTTCTTCCAAAAACACGAAAATTTGATTTTCTTAAAATAAAAAAACTGCATTTGAAATGAATAATTTATCTATTTGATTTCAATAAATGATTTATTTAATTGTTTTCTTGAATTGAAAAAAAATTCTATCCAAATTAATAAGGTATTTATTTCATATAATTAGATTCTTCCCGTTGAAACAACAAAACAACTCTATTCATTTTTAACAACGACATTCTTGACATGAATGAAAAAATGTCAAATAAAGATTTTATTTGATTCTAACAAACTATGTTTCTGGGTGTGGTCCTTAGCCTTATGAATACTCCCAGAATTTTTCTCCGTGCACCTGCATGACAATCATCATTTCCCAGAATTCATTCATACCATGAAATTCCACAATCAACCGGTTTTCATTCCCGACCCAATAAAATCTCTCACGAATAAAGTCTTTGTCCCCGCGAAATTCTCAATTCCCGAGCAAATGGGATTTTTTCGCAAACGACACTCAATTGAAAGCCTAAAGCAATCTCCTCGTGATAATCTTGCGCGATAGTGGTGTGAATAGCAGCGAAGCCAACATCGTGTAATCCTTTAATCGCTAATGGTGAAACCATGAGTTAAATGGTTGTCGCACTATCTGGCCCATACGCTCGAGCTCCCATTCACAGTCCCCCGGATTAATTAACAGATCGCAGAAATTTTTTTCTGACCATTGAATCGTGAAATTCAATTGCGCACTGTATAATCAACAGAATTCCCTTGCTCCTTTCGGCGATTGCAATAAAATTGCAGAGCTATTTTTTTTCATCCAGTTAGAATACATATTCATTATATTTATCGATCTGAAGCACCAGTCTGGAAAAATACACTAAATTACTGACAATTCTCGGCAAGGTGACTCGACACGCAGGCAATTACGAGTGAGGACGCAAAACGCGATGGACTTTGCGTGCATAATTCACGGACGATTATTTCAACTTTATCGTTGAGTTGTAACCTTGCGATGGCAACATCGGCTTTAATGTGAAGTACAAGCGAGTGTTGAACGTTGAAGCATTTCCAACTTTGGGAATTGATACGGTGGGGGATGGATAATGCACAGATATTTCGTTAATGAGGTCGCTGATTATTGCATTGATTACAGCCTTTGTAGGTTGATGAGGAATTCATTATTTTATTGATGAAAATTGAATGGAATTTAGTTTCGGGGATTAGTTTGTGTACTGACAGTATAAATGGATGAAATTTCATCATTAATTCGTGATTTTTTAGTCAATCAAACGCAATCAAATTCTTATTGAAATTTTTATAGATTTGCGTGGAGAAAAATAAGGGGATAAGGGCATTTTTTAATAAATGAGTATTGTTATTGGTGCTAATAAATTAGAAATTTTTTTCCGAATGTTTTTCTTTATTCTTATTTCACTTCTTCTATTTTTTTACGTCATAGTGCTAAGATCGATTAAAATGTCATCAAAATTTTGCGGATTATTTCGTTCTGTTGAATAATTCTGCATTCGGACCTTCTCAAGACTCGAATTCGTTTTCAGTCCGGGTTTAATCAGGGTTCAGTCGAGGTTTAGTCGGTGTATAGCCGGGATTTAATCAGGGTTTATTCAGGATTTAACCAGAAGTTAGTCGGGACTATGAATCAATATGAATAAGCGGGGATCAGAATGTAGAGGATTAGATGAATACTCGACAGTGAGTTGAAGAACTCATTTTTTCATCCATAGAGAATTTTTTTCCAATCCTTATTCGTTTTGAAAAATTTTTCTCAAAGACATCTGATTATGCCCTATGGCCGCTCATTTGACATTTCCGACTTGGCTTTTTTTCATTTCTTTGTATTTTTCAACAATTTTGAGAAAATACATTAAGAAAGAAAAAACACATACATACATACAGACACCATCTAAATATTGCATATTCGGACTTTTTAGACTACGTTTAGTTACCTTGATATAAAAAATAGAAACTTGAATTGGAGCGATTACAATGCTTCCACTCAGAAGCAAATTGCTAATTTATAAAACTATTCCGACTATGCTGTGACGAAAGTAATTTCCCACTTGCTTTCAGCATTAAACTTGAAAGACAGTACACCATTCCTACAATTATGCAGCGTAAAAATCTTGTGAGGCTTAACAAAATTGAATGTTCAATTTCTCCCACAAATTCCAAAACTACCAAAATGCACGGAGAGAAATATTCAATAAAAATTGCGTATCTTTTCCGTAATTCCAGAACGAAATGTAGTTGCAGGAAATTTTACAGAATTGTCACGGAATTTTTCCGGAGCTTTCCGTAATTTTCATTTGAATCTCCTGTAAAGAATTACGATACCGTCACTTAAATGTTCTGAGTCGATTCCGTAATCGGAGAGTGAATTGTGAGTTTCGTAATTTTTACTGAATATTTCTCTCCGTGTGAATAAACTTTTCCAACTGCCTACTTATGATTCACTTGGCATTTGAAACGTGACACGTAACAATAAATTTCACTTACATGTGCCAAAATCGCTGGATAATCCTGTGAGTACAGTAGAAGAGCCCCAATGAGATGGGCCGTTGAAAATGCAACACCAGCGATACAGGCATATCTCAGTCGTATGGGTAGCAGAGCATATGCCATATAAATGAAGAAGCATACAGCCCATGCAGCAGCCAGGGGACCACCAGTACGCAGATGATCCAATCTCACAGTCGGCACTGTACTTGTAAATGCATCCGAGTCCCTAGGAGTTTCGCTGTCGTCAAGCGTATCTATCTCTTCCTCTTCGAAAGCTGGGAGATATGCCAGATGAATATTCAGGGCTATCTGCAGTCCGAGTAAGGTCACTAAAACTGCACCACTCACACCCGCCAGCCAAACTTCATTCATCCCCGGCCTTGATATCGCCGCCACTAAAACTGAATGAAACAGAAACAAATGGTTCAGCCAAGTTCTTTGTTAATCGGAGTAAAGTTTTGCCTGGTATTGATTTTAACTCGTCAAATGTTAAAATAGTTATAGTGCACGGATTTATTAACGGAGGGACTCATTCTATTCGCATTAGCCACCACTGTTATTAAGGTATTTATCGCGGGGTGGGCGTATAGGTGGGACGGAGGGGAATCTATTGTTCTCTCGCAGAAAACCAATCGCTGAACAAAAAAACCATATTTCAATTACAAATTTTCAATCTATTTCGACCATTTTTATGTTGGAAAATTTTTTTAAAATAACTTTTCTATTTTTTTCCACATATTTCAAGCCTTCTTTTTTTTTCTAGCTTGTCTTTTGGATAATTGGAAAATAATTAATGTAGATAGAAAAAGTGACAACGTCTTGCCGTTCGAGGTACATGTTGGCAGCACTGATTCACTCAGTTGTTATGTTCCTTCCCATAGCGAAATGTATCATCACAACTCCATTCGTATTTGCCGCGCTTAACTCTCCACGATTTCTAACCTCAACGTTGTCGCTATTCCAAGTTGCATTCGCAGAAACCCTGTTTTTCATGAGTTTTTAAATTATCCCTTCTAAACAATTCTATTAGGCCACTTGGAATTTTTTTTTTTACGGTCCTCCATGAAAGCTCCACACAAGTGCGAAAGTTCAGGAAAATGGCGACTTTTTTTCTATTTTTACTATTTTTCTTCCGAATTCCCATAAGATCCCGTATTAAAATGCAGTTTTTAGAAAAAATTCCTGTGTTTCACACATTTTCCTAGGCTTTCTGGGATTTTGCATGGGGATTTTGAAAAAATCAAAGAATTCATAAAAAAAAATCATCAATTTCTCGACTTTTTTTCGACCGACCCTGACTACGCCATAAATACCTTAAGGGAATATTATTTGTGAGATTGACATTTTTTCCCCATTTCCTATTTTTGCTTTCCCGGGGGGAATACAGAAAACGTAGAGTTTTTTTTTCTTATTCTTCACTCAACTTGATTGGAATTCGAATGGAGCCATTTTATACAACTCTTGTGACGAGGTTAATTAAAGAGGGGATCCGAAAATGAGCGAAAGGTGCGGAATGAGTTTCCGCGGGATTAAGAAGATTTTGCTGAAACCCTTTAATGTGGAATTGTCATGGGGAACGAGTTTAATTAAATTGAAAGGTTTTTGGAGGATGCTCCATGTACTTATTATACCATGAATTTAGAGTTGATGAAGCATTTGCAGTCAACTGATGAATTTTGAAATGGAAATCGAATGTTAAATTTTTTATTCATCAGGAAATTGAAAGAAAAAGAAAAGTTGACTGCAAAAACTAGGCGTTTGAATAACTTAATTTATGAAGATTTGACGAATTGGAGTACTCAACATAATAGACTGGAACCTGAGTTTAATAGAGATAGAAATTTTTATATAAAAAGCTCATGACGGTATTGTGTGAGTTAGTAAGCAATGATGTTCTCGCCATTTTTCAACTTCATTAACCCTCGATCACTCGCTCAATGAGCGCGACGCCGCCCGTTTTCGTTTTTTTATACTTTAGCGCGTTTATCGACGCTTAAAAAACCTGAAAAAATTCGAGTTCCTAGTTCAATCCTTTTATTAACCGTTGGCGTTGTCCATTTTTTTCTCGATAAATTTATTTAGCTAAAAAAAGAAAAGAAACGTTGAACGGACAGAAACGCGGCGCCGCGCCGCCCGATGCAAGTGAATCCCTGGCGACACCGCGGGCGACAGTGTTGCTATATTCACTGCTATACTTGACATGCGCGCATAGCGGTAAGCGCCAAGGTGGCAACAGCGCGCTCGGTTTAACCCAGCGGCGCCGCGCTAACCGTGCGACGGATGAATGTTGGCGGTCGAGCGCGAGTGATCGAGAGTTAAGAGGCAACAGAAGGCCGCCGTTGCCTGGAAATTTGCAAACAAATTTCCTGCTCAAAGTCACTCATATTTTTCGAAGTCAAAGCACTTTGCCCTTCATAGTCGCCTATTGGAGATTAATGTTCTTCTATTGATAAAAATATCAAAAACATTCGGCAGAATTTTTTTGCAAAACCTTTGAAAATTAGCTCCATTCTGTTACCCCTTAACGAATGAACATTTGGTGGGACCGAATAGACCCTAGCCTCCGACGAAATTCATTCGTTAACAATAACTAATCCTTTCTATCAGTGGATACAGACACTATAAAAAATCGCACAAATCAGACACACAAAAAATTGGCAACTTAAATTTAGGCGATTACAAAGCTTCCATTCGGAAGCAAAATGAAAAGGTTAGTCTTAAATTCATCTTCTTCATTATATTTGTCCATTAATTCTTAAGAAATATTTATTGAAAGTTTCCACTAAAAAACTGTCGATTTACGGAAAAAAACACTGATGAAAATCGATTTGCATTCACTCTAAATGTTCCGAGGTATTCTCCGATGAAAGGAGAACCCCAGAAAATTTGAAAGCTGAGTGCATGCGAGTCTGAATGGATCTCCCTATCAGTAGCCTTTTTGGCCAGTCATGTGTAAATATATTCACTAAAAAGACTGATGCACCTTGAAAATAAAGAAGGAAATGCAGGCTTCTGAGAGTATCAATCTTAATCAAGGTTTTTTCTCCATTGAATTGTTATCGACGCATCGACCACTAGGTTCTTAGCACTCCCTCTCGACTTTTCCCGGTCATTAGGAGCTCTCAACGATCGCCTCCTCGACTGTACGGTTACGGTCTTATTTCAGTCTTCGGTAATTGAAGTACATTTGAAACTGCGACTCTAAGCGTGAAGTATTATTCAACCTGATGAGAAATAGTGCACTAGCGTAGGCAGACAATATCAAGTGGATTCGTACCAGGATTTATCCTATCAAAGTGACAAGTTACAGGAATCCGCTTTGTTTTCTACCAAGGAATACACTGTTAAAATTTTTGTCTGAAATTTCCGGTATACTTTGTGGAAATTTTTATCGACTTTAATTACCACTGAAATTTCAAGGAATTTCGTCATTAAAAATTCAGAATTTCGTGGAAAAATTACAGTGAACTGTAAATTTTAGTTCCATTTGTCCCTGCAAATGAATAGAAAACCAGAAAATTGCGGTAAATATATTCTTGAATTTTCAAGACAGTGGCACTGAATGCGATTTAGGGGGAAAAAATCATGAAATTTCAGATTTCACTACAAATTCAATGTCAATTCGCACTGAATATTCATATTAGATTGGAAATTCAAATAAGTTGAGAAATTTTCGTCTTTATGCTGCTTAACATTCTGGAATTTTACTGAATTTTCAGTAAAACCTGAAATTTCATTATTTTTTCCCCTAAATCGCATTCAGTATCACTTTCCTGAAAATTAATAGTCAACTGCCCATGAAATTTGATTTTTTTTCTAACAGTGTATACCGCAAATTTCTTGATGGAAAATACCCAAACACCTCATTCCACTCCCGTAAAGAAAATATCCTCGAATCGGGTATATAATATTCCGGAATCTGGAATATTACATTACGGAATCAGGAATAATATTATTCCAGAATCCAGAATATAACGCACCGGATTCAGAAATACATATATTCCTGATTCCAAAATATTATATACCACATTCGAAGATATTTTTTTTCCGCGCTGATGTACGAAGAGAAATTTTTCATAAAAGTTATCCTATCGTTCTATAAAAGTGTATCATGAGTCATCGTTTCCTCATTTCTATCCCGAAATTTAGTAAAAATTAATATATGATGATCAAATTTTATTCTACGTTAGAGAAATTTTATCCTGATAAAAATAAAAATTACCGTCCCGGTAGAGTAAAAATTGCTGTACAGTTCTACAATTTTCGTTATCTACATAAAAATTATTGCACTAGAAGATTAAAATTTATGATGTGTCAGGATAAAATTTCTCTAATATAGAATAAAATTTCATCATCATATATTAATTTTTACTGAATTTCAGGAAACGAAATGAGGAAACGATGACTCATGATACACTTTTATAGAACGGTAGGATAATGTTTATCAAAAATTTCTCTCCGTGTGCCATTTGCAATGAAAAGGAAAAACCATTAATTCTGTTCAATGAAGCCTTTTCGTCCTCTAAAAACATTTTCTTTTGATTAACATCCCGATTTATACCGGGTAGTTATTGTAATGGCCCCGAAAATCGAAACCGGAAATTTCAGGATATCTTCACGTGTCCTGACCTCGAGAAACTTTCTACGATGTTTTTAGAAGGACGGTCATGTGTGTGCGTGTGTGCACGCGCATATATGAGGAAAAGTTCACCCAACGATTTCTGTGGAACGAACGGTTCGATTCAATTTTTTTTTCAGCCAATTGATAAGTTCCCATGTAACTTAGAGCTGATTAGATTCTGAATGACGTTGTCTCAGCGGTTTTCCAGATTTCTCCATTTATTCTATTCCATAAAGCCCTCTTGTCCTGTAAAACCATTCGCTTTTTATTTCACCATGGTTCCAGGATGTTATAAATTTTGTAATACAGAATTTTATAGCGGTCTTCAAGGTTGGATTTTTTCTAGCAATAAAAATGCAATCGGTTAGCATTACATCGAGTATTACAGTATACATACCAAAAACATGGAAAAATAACAATATCAATGACAGAAAACCACATAAATAAAAAGTCAAACTACCGGAAAAGAAATAACACCAGATCGGGTTTTTATTTTTCCCTCTGTGGAATTTTCCCCTTTAGATACAACGATTTTTATATTTTTTTCATCAGGAATCTTGATTCTGGGACTTTCAATCACGTTACATTAACATTCATCATACTTTTATACCCTTTTACAATCGAATACTCGCCAGAATACCCACATAAGACGCTATCATCAAACAGACTGAAGTTTTAGCGGTGAATCAAGTAGATTTCTACCAAGATTTGTCCCGTCAAAGCGGCGACTTTCTGAACTCTCCCTGTTTTCCACCAAGAAGTATACCACGAATTTCTTGGTGGAAAGTACTAGAAACTCTCTATCTAGTTATACAATTTGCAATAAAAAGTAAAAGCTATCTATTTTATTCAATGAAGCCCCTCCGCCCTATGAAAACATTTTCCGTTTATTTCACCTTTATTTTAAGACGTCATAAGCTCGGCGACGTCCAATTTTATAACTATCTTCGGCTTTGGAATAGCAATACAGTACTAAAATGTAGCGGACCGACCGTAATGGTTGGGTGAGTTAGGTGTTGCTCCGGAGGACATCCGAGTGCAGCTGCGTTTAGCGCGGTTAGTACTTAGATGGGTGACCGCTTAGGAACACCCTCGTCCAAAAATTTCGGAAGGTAGGCACGGTGCAGTAGCCTAATATGATTCTAGGACAGTTTTTCCCCGGACAAAATCTCCCGGATAAAATTTCTCGGACAAAATCTCTCCGAAAAAGAATTTGAGACTTTCAAAGCTCCCTTCGAGGAAAAATTTCAAGTTGAGATCCGAAAGTTTTAACTTGAGGCATTCAAAAGTATCCACTTGAGTCTATGAAACTCTCAAATTGGAACCTTTAAAGTCTCTACTTGAATCTGTCAAAAGCCTCCAAACTGAGACTTTCAATAGTACAGTACGATACAAGTGAAAAAAAAGTAAAAAGTAAAAATGAAATAAAGTTGTTCATATGTATCACACGACATTTTGTGATACTGATGTTAAAAATGCGGTTCTTTGCGCACGAAGCGTGCAAAAAAGTGTCCTTTTTTCACTTGTATCATAAATCTTATTATGCCACTCATGCCTGAAACCGGCTGGATTACACAGTCGACGCTTCGCGTCTCGTGTCTAATTCAGACGGTTTCAGGCTTCGTGACATAAAATTTTGTTCAGTACTTGTTGGGAAATTTCGTCCTTAACGTGTGTGGTTACATCACTCGCCTTCGGCTCATGCTGTAAACCCCACACACGTTAAAGACGAAATTGCCCCACACGTGCTGAAATATACTATTTCAAGACCTCTGAAATCGTAAAATAATGTATTTTTATTTTGGGATATCCAAAAGCAATTCATGCTCCTTCGCGAATTCCTGGCTTTTAATGCACTCTAAAATTGGAACGATTCTGTTTAACGCCTGAAAGAGCCCAAGACGTTCAAAAACCCGATGCATTAGTCTGAATACACTCTTTATCAACTGCCGGTTGAAGGCTGAATGCTCTGCCCACTAGGTTTTTCTCAATAGTATAAATACACATTCGCGAGTGACTGATGGACCCATCAGGATTACCAATCACTCTGGCAGCCTTACCTGCATAGGTGGCGATGCAGGCGAGCAACGTGAGGGACAAGAACAGATTTTCAGACCTACGTAGGAGCCCGATGAAAGACAGATCACTATTGGCCACAAGTCTGAGCACCAGCAGTCCAAGGGCAATTGTCAGGCCAGTCAAGAGTCCCAGTACGTGTGTCATGTTGCTCTGGTTCATCCTCAGGAAATACCGTTGATACAGCATCTCCACCTAGTTGAATAATCATAATTGACTCAATGACTGGGTATCAAATGGAGGGAAATTTAGAATCTACTCATTCTCCACGGAAGAATCAATTACTATCCTCAGTGTATTGGTAAGATAATGGGTTTGCGTGACTTCGCCTTGGCCTCTGTCCTTGTTCATGGCCCGGGCGTTGGTTTATGGAATGGAAATGCGGCCAACGGGGCGACACAGCCAAATCGAATGAATAAAGAGCAGTTTTCGCAACGTTTTCAATTAATTTTCTCCTCTGTTTTGTTATACTTTGGGTTTATGCATTTTGATGGATGAGATGGTGGTGGAGAAATTCAGCTTGAAATTTCTTTGCATTATATCACGCATGAAAAGAGGATTTCTCATGACACAGGAAAAAAAAACTTTTTCAAAATAATTTTTTTTCTTTTTTTATCGAAAAATATATATTTAAAAAATACAACCCGAGGCACTTACGTTTCAATGATAAGTACTCCTGGAGAGTTAAATTTTGAATCTCGAAACAGGTTTGTTGATTAATTGAAAAAATATATTGAATATTTTCCGTGGTAGAACGCTAACTACAATAATTGTTAAAAATATAAAATTTAAATTTAAAAAAACACTAGACGACAGGACTTGTCCACTTAACATTTATCACTTTTATACATACTGTAGAAAATAATTACTTCTGATTACGGATAAATAATCAATTTTTTATGGTCAATTAATCAACATTATTATTCGATGAAAAAATGTAAAATTTTATTAACTTGGTCAGAAACATCGATGTTTTGAAAAAAGAATCGAAAATCGATTAATCGACCGTTGACAACATCAAATGAAAAACATCGATGTTTGTGCATGAAAAAGCGATGTTTTTGATTAATCGACAAACATCGCCCACCCCTACTAACAAAATTAATTAATTTTCGTCATAAATAGGTCGATAATTTTTAATACTTAAATATTAACTACACTGAGGGAGTTGTAACGGGGCCTGGAAAGCGTTTAAATGATAAAACCACCACGAAATACTCGCTAACCTAGCATAAAATTGTTGAGGTACTTGAAAAATAATTTATTGAGAGAAAAAATGTAGGGAAATTGCGAGCAGTGCGATGTCAAGTGACTTGTTACTTTTTCCCGTTACGAGGTCATAAGTTTCCTGTTACGTCGCTCCTGGTGATAATTGGTGACAATTAATTTTAATTGATTGCCGATGCACGAGACAAAAAAATTAACCTTGCACTATTTTCAATTCTCTGCATTGTATTTTTAGTCTGCTCCAGTGCAGTGGAGATAATTTTAGTTGAACACGTCCGGAGAGTGAAATACAAAATTTGACTGGTAAAACGTACACCGGGGAAACTAAAGTGGCTCAGATTTTGTGGAGCACACTGTCAAGGGAATTAAGAGTTTCTGGGTGGAAATCAGAGGGAAGCGACTCTGATGGTACTTGGGGAATTTTCCTAAGATCATCTGTGGTAGCTTCTTGAAAGTTTAATGAGGAAAAGCTTTCATTTTTATCAAAAATTAAACCATGAGGAAACTGAGTTTATAGGATGATTATGGGAGATTCTTCAGGTCCTTTGACGCTTGGAGAACATCCCTGGATGCTACCGTAAAATCTAGATGTTATTTTTGTGAAATAACTCGAGCGTTCTATCAGAAAAAATGATTTTCTATCGTCATATTTTGCAGTTAGATCAAGTGAAAGAAATGTCACACAATTTCATTAAAAAATGTCACAAAATAGGTCTTTTTCACTCAAAATTCAGTAGCGAAGTGGGAAAAACGGTACAACTTAATTTTGACTATTGACCAGTTTTCAATGAATACCTCGGAATCTAAGGGAAATAGTAAAATTTTTATTATAACCTTTTTTGTAGAGCCGATTGAGAACTACAACAAATATAGTTACGAAAATTTCGCTATCTCCCTTAGGTTTGGAAATATTCCTCAAAAACTCAACTGGGGGATAAATCGACTTAAACCGCTTTACCTCTTCGCTACTGAGTTTATCTTGCAAAATATTACTTTTTTCATATTCGCGATCGCAGCGTGGATGTGGGAGCCATCAAGTGGTCTTTAAACTAACTACTCGTGGGGCCAACCAATGAAATCACGGAGAACCCAGTGATCTCATTGACTGGCGCCTATCATTGGTTCACTCCCAGTCGTTTTATAGGTTGGCCCCCAAGAGTAGTTAGTTTAGAGCCCACTTGGTGGCTCTCAAATCTACGTTGCGATCGCGAATACTGTTTTAAAATTAATCATGAAATCTGTTTCAACTCTTGGAGACCTTGTTATTGGGGCATTGTGTGATGAAATTTGTGCTGAAATTCTACTTTCGCAAATTTAAAAAAATTTCAAAAAATGATTTTCATGGTTAAAAATTTCTTGTTTGTAAATTAAGTATGAAAAAAAGTCGTTGTCTCGAAAAATTCGAACTTTCAGACTTTCCATTCTTTCTCGACAGTTTTAAAATAATTCCAAATGATTTAAAATGGAGAACTCAATAGTTGCATTCAAAGTTCTATGAACAATTGAGTCGTCTCACAAATGTCTAGTAATCTAGGGTCAAATGGGACTTAAATGAAGTCTTTGCTACATCACTTCGAAATTTTAAGAAGAAAAAAGCTTGATGGAATCTCAAACTTGAAAAGAAAATTCGCTAGAATGAATTGTTTTAAGAGCAATAATCAACCGATAGATATTACTTCGAAAACTTGCTAGACATGTAAATTGCACCGGATTATTAAAGACTGCGTAAAAGTTGAATAATGAAACTTACTTTCAAACATCCTTGACAAAGAAAAGGAGGAATGTCAGTCGATCCTAATAATTTATTAAACTTGTTTGCCCAATTGATTTTTTTCCAATTGATTCAGCCTATAGATTTTCCAGTCTCGTTGATGCCAGCCTGGAAGGATGCTATACCCAGAAATATGGTTTATTTGAATCAAGGATAAGTCACCAAAGACGTGTTATGATTCTATGTCTTAATGGAGTTACTGTCATGCCGTAGCGTCGCCGTCACGACTAGCTAGTGACTGAATAGTCTTCGAATGTTTTGCATTGAGACCGAAAACAATGGCTCATTTTAAGATTTTTAACTCCTCACGTACGGGGTCGATGCCATGCATCGACCCATGAAGATATGAATGACTCTCGTTGAAATTGATTATTTCCAAAACTATGAAATTTAACTCAGCCAAACAAATAACAACGAGAGAATTTTTACTGAACATTTCTCTCTGTGCATGGAACTGTAACTCTTAACCCGGGAACTTGCGACTCTGGTCACTTCCGCGGGGATTTGCCGCCGTGTTATTTAGGTTCCAGCGTTGCCGAATTCACTCTACACTGCCCGGGCGCGTTTAACGAGTTTCCAGCAACGTCGCGCAACGGGCAATTTCATTTAACATGGGAAAAAATTGTTCAACTGTTAGAAATGATTTTTTTTCTTCCAGAATTTGGGATGTAATATTAAAAAAATAATACTAAAATTTTCCAGATACTTTAATTGACGAATTCAAATTTTTTCGGATGTTTCCGGTCAACCAGCTGGTGACAAGACGAAAAAAATGACACGTTGGGGCAATTCCCTCGCATGGTGACCAATCTAGGGTTAATGGAGTTACTGTCTTGCGGTAGCGTCGCCGTCACGACTAGCTAGTGACTGAATAGTCTTCGAATGTTTTGCATTGAGACCGAAAACAATGGCTCATTTTAAGATTTTTAACCCTTCACGTACGGGGTCGATGCCATGCATCGACCCATGAAGATATGAATGACTCTCGTTGAAATTGATTATTTCCAAAACTATGAAATTTAACTCAGCCAAACAAATAACAACGAGAGAATTTTTACTGAACATTTCTCTCTGTGCACTCAACGACTCAACTGAAGTCCATTCATACTGCTTTAATACGTCTTAATGCACTAGTGTTTACTGCACATTGGCAAGTTCTGGGTGTAAATGGATCAAAGCTGTTGACCAAACGACAACTGTAATGTATGTACATTGACATATATCTCCAGCACGAAAATGTCGGTGGGCGGTCTTGGGCAAACGTAGACGCGGTTCACCCAACTCGATGTACTTATCCCAGGGCACATCGTCTACGTAAGTGGTACGTCAGGCAAGCAAAGTTTCGAGGACTCGACATCATGCTCGGTTTCAGCTCATGCGACCAAAACTCCGCTGCCGGAGAATCATGAGGTACAATCTAGCAGGATATGACGAGGTCGACAGCTGCATAATCTAAAACACTGTCATGTCATGACTCATGAACATATGCTCTTCAATTTAAATTTAATCGAAAATTACAGCTCGTCTCGGTGATTGTGGCATCTATTGCAAAAATTACGGGAGAACGTTATGGCGGGAGGATAATGAGGAGCACTGGACAGCATGGGAAGTAGTTATGTTGTACAGCCATAAAATTGTTATTACATCTATGTAGACATGCCACTAATTGCGTCACGATTCGAGAGATGTTCGGTTTACTCGACATTACAGTAATGATAACGTGCTGGCAATTAAAATTTGGCGGATACTCATTCGATAGATAATTAGTGATAAGCCATACGGGATAAAATATAGCGGGGAAATGTTGAAATTTTATATGCCAATTTTTCAATAGTTTGGAATGTGGGCGTTTGGTAATGAAGATTAATTTATTTGAAAAGCTCAGAGAGAATTGTGGAGGGATAAAATGTGAAATGTGATTTTCATTCAATTTATTTTATTCATTCTGTTTTTTTATTTATTTAATTCAATTTATTTATTTTATTTATTTTATTTATTCGCAACAAAGCTATCGAGAAATACCTGAGCATTTTTAAGCTCTTGGGGTATTACAAGTGATTATTTTCTGAGTTCTGATTTCGATCAGTCGGTGTGCAGCGTTTGGGGTCACATAACACATGCACATCAGCAGCAGACAGACGAGAATTTCTCATTTTATTTGAATTTTCAATGACGAAAATTCAGAATTTCATAAAAA